GTACTTGGGAAATGGAGACAAGGAATCCCCAGAGCAATCTGGCCAGTTACAGTAGTCTTATAGGTGAGCTCTGGGCTCAACTGAGAGACCTGCCTCAAAGAAAAAAGTGGAGAGAGATGAATGAAGACACTGACATTGACCTTCAGCCTCTGTACAACACATGCATACACACACACACACACACATGATCTCACATGTTAACACATATACACATATGCACACCACACAGGCATACAGTCTCCCTGTAGCCCCAGCTGGCCTGGAACTTGCTATGCAGACCAGGCTGGCCACGAACTAACAGAGATCTGCTGCCTCTGCCTCCCAAGTGCTCCTCCTCCTCCTCCTCCTCCACCTCGTTCTCTTCCTCTTCCTCCTCCTCCTTCTCCTCCTCCTCCTTTCGAGACTGGGTCCTGCTAACTCATTGTGATCCTTCTGCCCCTGAGTGCTGCTGGCATTATAGGCATGTGTTACCACACAGAGACCAAACACTTTAATATCAGGCACACAAAGTATTTTGAGGTTTCTAAAACACCCACCTAAGCTGGTGTGTTCCCACTGACTCTGGGACTAGCTCCTAAGGGTTGTACACATGGCCAGTCAGCATCCAGCCCTATCCCCTCTCTGGGGCCCTCCCTGCGCTCTGCTCCATTCCCTTCCTAGATCCCTCTGACTTCCTTCCTTGCCTCTCTTCATTTCATCATCTTATGCTTCAAGATTTGGCCCTAACAACGCTTCTTCCAGGAAGACTTCCTCTGACCCCTGTGTGCCCTTCCCCCGTTAAAAAAATGTCATAAAAATTAAAACCCTCTTTTAATAGACTCCAACTCTGCCTCAAAGAAAAAATATAAGAACTGGTGATAAAAAAAAAAAGAGCTGGTTTTCTAGAATTTGGAAAAAGAAATGAAGGTCACTATATGCCAACAGGAAGGAATTCAAGAAAAATCAGTCAGATTAAACTTATTTTCTCAGGAAGTAGAGCAGGTAGCATCCCTGGGTTTCAGCAGGACACTCAAGAAGGACTGGAGAGTGCAGCTGCATGGCAGAGCAACTGGACATGCCCCAGTGCGGGGGATGACCTTGTCTGAGGCAGCTGCACAGTCTGGGTGGTCTAGTGTGGGCAGTGTGGGGCTTGGGGCCTGTCCCTGTCATCACCACTGTTACTGACTTGACTGAGGATGACCAGGGAAGGCTGAAAGAGTTACCAGATAGTGAAGATGCAGATTTTTAGATGTCTCAAGAGGTTCAAAGAACAGACCAAACTGACCAAGAACAAGGCTGATGGCGTGGCAGTAGCTCAGTGTCTGAGCACAATGTGTGAGTGTCAGGGGACAGCTCACCGAGTCAGCTGTGCTGTGGCTGCCCAACCCAGCACACTCCTAGGCTGTAATCCAAGAGAAACATCCGGGACAAGGTTACTGTGAGCTGAGCAAGCAGCCTTGAATTCAGAGGAGACTGGCTGGGTTGGCAAGCATGCTCCTATGGCACAGTGGAAAGGGTGGCTTGTGTGGGGGAGGGCTGGCAGCCTGAGGTCCTTGGAGTACTGTCCAGTCCGCCCTGGGTGGAGACACCAGGTAAAGGGAAGCCCAGGTATTCTCCACTTCCCAGTCCACATGTCCTGGCATGGAGTCATACCATCTAAGGAGAGGGGCCAGCTGATGTGCTGTCCACCACCCAGTAGGGTACCTGCTTTGACTTGTCTTCCAGAGCAAGTACCTTATTGGAACTTGAGAGCCTTCACCTATGCCAGCAATGGCCCCAATGGGTTTCACTGACTGAATGGCCTCAGATATCCAAAGGGCTCACCTGAAGGTCAGAACCATGATTGTGAATCTTTAGGGATAGAGGGTCTGCGGTGAAGATGTTCAGGGAAGGCCAAATACAGCCGAGCAAACACAAGCTGCTGGAGGTTGGGGCAATTTGTAAGTGAGCTCTTGTTCCCTGCCACTGAGCAAAAGAGTCTGGTGGCTTACTAGGCATGGAATTTGGAGGGTCCCAGCTTCACTAACATCTCCAAAACTTACCTGAGTTTCAGATGCATCTGATATGAATTGCTCTGCCCATGGAGGCCTACATTTCCTTCCTACAAGATGATATTCTCAGCTGGGTGTGGTAGCACATGCCTGTAATCCCAGGCTTTGGGAAGGGAAAGCAGGAGGATCTTGAGTTGGAGGCTAGCCAGGGCTGTTCCAAGGCTGTTCCTGTCTCAAAAACGAAAACAACAGTCTCTCCTCCCCCGCCTTACCCTCAGTGATGGGGTGAAGTTTTGGGTACAGATAGAGAGGGGATGAACAGAGATTCAGTCACAAAATTATTGCTTGTTTATTGTGGTTACATATATATGCATATATAATTTACATATAGATATTTAGCATAAAGTTTGTCATTTCAACTGCCTTCAGATACAGGTCAGTGGCACCATCACCACCCCCATTCACAAATCTTTTTTTTTTTAATCTTATAAAATGAAAACAGTACCCACTGAACACTAACTCTTCCCTCCCGTGTCCAACTTCTGGAAACCATCATCCTACTTTTTATCTGAGTCTGAGTACTTTGGGAGTAACACAGTACTCTGGAAGTAATAATCCTTTCACGACTGGCTCATTTTACTGAGATGATGTCCTCAAGGTTCATCATGTGCTAGCATGTGCCATAATGCCTTTCCCTCTGACTTAAAAAAATTTTTATTTTAATTTATGTGCGTGCGTGTGTGCGTGCGTGTGTGCACGCGCACCTGCATGAATCTATGGGTACCACCTCTGCGGAGGCTAAAGGGTGTTGGATCCCCTGGAACTGGAGTGATAGGGGATTGCGAGTCACTTGATGTGGGTTCTGGGAACCGAACCTGGGTCCTCAGGTCCTCAGGAAGAACAGCAAGCTCTCTTAACCACTGAGCAATCTCTCTAGCTCTATGTTTTTCCTGTTAAGTCACATGTTTGATTCACTTTCCATCATGCCCTGTTCTCCATCACCTCTGGACCTGGAAGATGGAGTGGCTCTGCTCTCCTCAGCATACAGAACCATGCTTGAGTGTAACTGAAAGCTATAAAACAACAACAACAAAAAAAAAACAAACAAACTATGTAAATCGCCAGGCATGGTGGCACACACCTTTAATCCCAGCATTTGGGAGGCAGAGGCAGGCAGATCTTTGTGAGTTCGAGGCTGGCCTGGTCTACAGAGTAAGTTCCAGGACATCTGGTGCTACAGGGAGACCCTGTCTCAAAAGGACAAAAAACAAAACAACAGCAACAAAAAATTGTGTAGATCACCAAGTCCTGAGGAAAATATACACCCAATCTGGTTTGGGAATGCTTACCTTGTAATTAGGAACTGAAGTGTTATTATAAAAAGGACTGTAGGGGCAGAGATGGCTCAGTGGTTAAGAGCACTGGCTGCTCTTGCAGAGGATCTGGGTTCAGTTCCCAGCACCTAATATGGCAGCTAACAACCATCTGTAACTCCAGTTCCAGGGGAATCTGTCACCCTCTTCTGACCTCCATTGGCATTGCATGACATGAGTGCACTTGCATACATGCAGGCAATACACTCATACACATAAAATAAAAATAAATAAAGAGGACTGGAATATTTTGAAAAACCTAGAAAAATGTAAATTTGGAGAAAACAATGTCTACAAAAATTGAGCACATTTTGCCAAGACAGATTTAAGTTTCTGATTTCGTTTGTTATTATTATTATTGTTTTGTTTTTTGAGACAGGGTCTCCCTGTAGCCTCAGCTGGCTTGGAACTTACTGTGTAGTACAGGCTGGCCTCCATCTCACAGAGATCTGCCTGCCTCTGCCTCCCAAGTGCCGGAAGTGGCAGGAATAAAAGTATATGCCAACTCAGCGAGCTTTATTTATTGTTATTTTTTGAGATAGAGTCTTGCTGTGTAGCCCAGGCCATCCTGGAACTATTTTTCGTTCTCTTCCTTCCTTTTTCTTTTCCTTTCTCTGTGTGTGTATAATGGCCAGGGGACAACCTGCTAGAGTCAGTTCCTTTCTTCCACCATGTGGCTTCTGGGGATCAAACTCAGGTCATCAGGGTTGGCAGCAAGTACCTTTGCCCACTGAGCCATCTTACCAGCTTCTAGCCTTTTGTATGCTGTATTACAGGTGTGCACCACCATGCCTGGCAGGATAGATTTTTTTTTTAATGGTTGAATAGACGCATATCTGTCAAAAATGCTTACTAATCATCCTGAAATTTCTGTGTTCAAATACCCACATTTAGTTTCTTATCTACCTTTTCAATAGATTCATTTGATTTTAGCAAACACTTCCGGCTAAAAGTAAATTCTGTTAAATGTTATGTTAAAGAGAGCTATTATGAATTTAGATATTCTGAAATGGTACAAACATAAAAGTATTGCTGCAGCTTCTTTTGTGGAGGAAATTGGGATCAGTGGAGGGGTCATAACTGAAATGCTACCTTTTGGTGCTGTTGGCCTTTTAAAATATTGACTTTTCTCCATATAGTACAATTTAAAATGTTTCCTAGTTAGTAGTATTATATATAGGGCCTTTTAGTTTTCCTCTTTCCAAATGTTATGCTAATAAACAAGAAATGTTGCTTAAACAAATCAGTTCATTTAGAAACTCCAAGGCATGGTGGTATATGCCTTTAATCCCAGCACTCAGGAGGCAGAGGCAGGTGGATCTCTGTGAGATCAAGGCCAGCCTGTCTAGATAATGAAGTCTAGGCCATCTGGGGCTACAGTGAGACCCTGTCTCAAAAACCAATAAAACAACAACAACAACAATAATAAAAGCACCAATAGGAACTCCAAGTTTTTTTGTTTTTTTTTTTACAAAATTGACCAAATTTTCTATTAGCCAATGTGTATTTTCTAATTACTCAGATATTGACAAAATGGTAATTGCTAAAATGGTAATGAGTGATGGCTGTTTGGGGTCTGGCCTCAGTATTCATCTCATCCTTAGCATGTAAGAAGGAGGTGTGTTATATTTAAAAACAGTTCCTATTAAATACATACCTCTGGTCCACCATCTTGGGAATTCTCCATTAATCTCTGTATAAATTTTTCAACTATCTGGGGTCTTCCAACTGAAAAGTTTTCTTTCATGACTTGGTGTTTCCAAAGATCTAGGAAAAACATACCAGCACAAGTATCACAAAACATAGACCATCATTGATGACCATGAACCTGTAGCTCTGACCACACAATACAAGCTGTCATTTCCAAATGCCCTGAAAGCCAAGTGTGAGGTGGGGAAGGGGAAGGAGGCAGCCCAGGACCTGGAACCTTCTGAAACATGGACTAAGGAAGATCTGTAGCAAGACTCCTAGCAAAAATATTCAGAAAAACACCTCTGAAAGCCAGTGAACAATACTGTTTCCATAACCTAAAACCTGAAGGACATGTAATGTTACTGATCTTACATGATGTCTGTTTTCATTAATATTCTGTAACTGAATGATGACTGTAGTCTAACACAGCTATCAGAAGTGGATGAATAGCAACATTCCTGGGAGATGAAGAACACGCAGCTTGCGGCTGGAAACCGTAATGTTTGGGAAACGCAGGCATCCATCTTTCATTGTCAACCTGTACTATGGCACTTCCCAATGGAATAGTATGCAACTGCTAAAAGGAAAAAAACTCTTCCAATATTGACAGGAAAATAAGTAATGACTGAAAAAACAACCACTAGCAAGGTGTAGTGGGTGCACACCTTTAATCACAGCACTCAGGAGACAGAGACAGGCAGATCTCTGTGAGTTCCAAGCCAGTCAGGCTACATAGTGAGGCTGAGGGAGAGGGAGAGGGAGGGAGGGGAGAGAGAATTAAAATGTACTATAGGTGGCTAAGTGAGAACGGCATGATACGGAAGAGTGCACTGTCTTTTTTAAGAAAGGTCTGACAAATACAGAAAGGGGGGCTATGCCCTCGAACCCGCTCTGCGTCAGCAGTGTCCCCATCTTTCCTTAGTGTCATCAGCCCTCCCCCCTTCTAGACCATTCACAACAGCACACGGTGTCTTTCCTGGTTATAAAGTCCGCTCTTGAGATCCAGCTATTGCCTCATTTCTCTGTCCCCTTTATAGTCAATTTCCCAGGAAGCAACGTCTTCCTTCAAACTGTCATTGATGTCCCTCAGACTCACTTGCCTGGTTTTCACTTCCACGAGGCTGGGGAAACTGGTTTTGTCACAAACATTTATGACTTCTCCAAAAGCCCGTGGCTTGACTTGCCTGCCCCGCCATTTCTCCCACTGTGTAACTTCCCCTCTTTGAAATGCTCCCCTTCCAGGCGCTGGAATGTTGCCCAGGCCTATTTCCCTCTGCCTGGCCATTTGTCCTAGTTGTCCTCACTGCCCTGCCCTTCCCCAATCACTTCAGTACTCCAAGGCTCAGCCTGGTCTCCACCTCCTTCTGTAAATATTAATGTGTTCACTTGATGTCCCGTCTTATCTCACAACTAAATTCCTTCAGATACTGACAACTCTCAAATTTAGATCCAGTTCTCACCTGGCATCTCTTCTTCAAATCTAAAGATCATTTGAAACTAACTTATGCATAATCAAGTCTCCAGTGTTCCCTCCCTAAATCGCTTTGTCTACAGCTTATTTCTTGTTGGATGACAGAAATTCTATTTTCCCAGTTGTTCAAGTCAAACCCCTTGGCGTCAGTTTGATCTTCTCTCTTTCTCCTGCCCCTGTATTCAATCCATTACCACCTCCCAATCCAAAGACACCCAACATCTTCTAGGTCCTCTGATCCCAGCTTCAAGTCAGGGCTTGGGAAGCTCCAGGCCAGTGAGAGATTCTGACTCAACAAACAGGTGAATAGTTTCTGGGGAATGACACTTGAGGTTGTCTTCTGGTGTCCACATACATGTTCATATACATGCATACACACCTACACACACACATACACACATACACACACTTAAAATATAATAGATCATGTCACTCTGTATCAGGGCCTAAGGTGTCTCAGAAAGAAGAAACTATGGTGGAGGAGCCCAGCCCCACGGCTCCTTCTCCTGCTTGGGCTGCACTCCCTGCCTGCTGTGGTTTCTCATTTCATCTCAGAAGATTGCCACACAGGGACAGAATGCTCAGTGCACAAGAGGAAGTGACCACCACAGTCTGCTCAGAAGTGTGGCACATACCTCTGGGATTTGTATGGACTATGGACCGAGGAGTCTTGGTTTTGAAAAATGGGATTCCATACTTTGTCTACAGATGGTGTATTAGTCAGGGTTCTCCAAAGAAACAGAACCAGTAGAATGAATATGTATAAAGATTTATCAGCTTAGCTCAGAGGATGGAGTCCGAGTAGTCCAACAATGGCTGCACCACACTGGAGAGGCTGAGAATCTGTAGTCGCTCAGTCCACAAGGCTGGATGTCTCAGTAGTCCCAATCTGGCGCTGAAGGTCTGACAAATTCCAAAATATCAGCTAGTCTTCAGTCTACAGCAGCAAGATGAACTCACCAGCGAGAGAGAAGGCAAGCCGCAAGAAGCCCCATGTTCTCCTCTGCCTTGGTCTTTTATACCGGCTGTCATCAGAAGGTAACGCCCACATTTAGGGTGTGTCTTCCGGCTTTAGATGATCCAATCAAGAAGATCTCTTTCATTTCAGTTAATCTCAGATCAAATCAAGTTGACACCCAGGATTAGCCATCACAGATGGCTACTCTCCATAATAAACCCATAAATCAAGGTTCATATTAAGATGTTTAAGACATTAATAAGTCTAAGCTTTGACAGGACAGAGCTGTGATTATTTCAGAAAAAATTTTAGACAAGAGGGCTGGAGAGATGGCTCAGTGGTTAACAGTATTTCCTGCTCTTGTAGGGGAACTGGGTTCAATTTCCAGCACCCACATGGAGGCTCACAACTCTCTGCAACTCCAATTTAGGGAATGTGACTCCCTCTCTGGCCTCCAGGGGCATTGTATGCATGTGGTGCACTTACAAACATGCAGGCAAACACATTAAACACTCATACACATTAAAAAAGAAAGAAATTGGATGCTTTCACCTGAGTGCTTTGGGGAAGGAGCCTGGCTCACAGAGAAGCCCCTTGTGGGACTGTATCTGTCACAGACTTCTAGTTTGGAACCATCACTTGGGAGATGCCCACCAAGCCAGTTTGGGGTTTGACTCTGGGCTCAACAGAGGGGAAATATTAATCAGATGCTGAATGATTCCAGCACTCTTTCCACATGAGTTCAAGTTGAGACATACAGATGGATTTATTGGCTGGAACTGGGGACCAAGGAGAGAAGAATTCATCCAAAGAATTCCTGGCAAAGAGGAGCCAGCCTCCACATTTGTCTTGTTCTCAGTGCATGTGTGTGGCCATGTCTTCTAGTGGGATCTTTATTCTCTCTCTCTCTCTCTCTCTCTCTCTCTCTCTCTCTCTCTCTTCTTGCTTGAGACAGAGTCTCTTATTTGATTTTTCCATTTGTATGCCAGGCTATCTGGCCTGTGAGCGTCCAGGGACTCTCCTGTCTTAACCTTCCATCTCTCAGCAGGGGTGTGCTAGGATTACAGGCATACACTACCACATCCAGCTTTACCTGGTTCTGAGGCTTCAAACTCAGGTCTTCACATTGTGGCAAGTGCTTTACCTACTGAGCCATCTCCTCAGGCCTGAAGCAACAGCTTTGACCAAGGCTCAGAAGTGGGAGGGTGGCAGTGCCCTTTGGAGTTAAATTAGGATTTGGGGTTTTTTTTGTTTTTTTGTTTGTTTTTTTTGTTTTGTTTTTGTTTTTTTGCTCTCCCCTCTTCCTCTAGTCCCAGCCCTTTGAAGGAAACTTTGAAGTCCCATTGACTAAAGCACTTTCCCCCGACCTCTCTCCCTCTCTCAGCAGCACCCTGGCTAGCCTCCTCCCACAAGGAAGGGCACCTTGGCTTGAAGCACTGTACTGCTACACAACCACTGTTCTGTGCACCTAAGCAGTCCCTGGAGGGATGGCTCAGTGGTTAAGAGCACTGGTTGTTCTCAAAAAGGACCTGGGTTCAGTTCCCAGCACCCACATGGCAGCTAACAACTGTCTGTAACTACAGTTCCAGGGGAATCTGACACCCTCTTCTGATCTCTGTGGGCATTGCATGACACAGATGCACTTACCTTAATGCAGGCCATACACTCATACACATAGAATAAAAATAATAAAATATTTTTTTAAATGAAAGCTGAAGGTACAGAAGTGCAGGCCAGAGCTGCTCTCCCACAGCCAGGAGCCCCACAAGTGGGAAGCTAAAAAGCCACATTTAAGATATGTGTTTGTGCTCCTATGATTTTCAAACTGCTCCCAAGAACACTAATTCCTTAAGTACTGCATTGTCTGCTTCCTGGACAGGATAGTAACATATAGTAGTATTATAAAGGCTCTAAGGTCTAGATTAGAGGAAAATGTTAAACAGGATTTGTCCCAGTTTTCCAAACTTCCTGTGATGGTTAATATGGATTGTCAACTTGAGAGGATATAGAATCCCCTGATAAACAAACCTGGGCATGTCTGTAAGGGAGTTTCTAGATTACATTTACTGAGGTGAGAAGACTCATTCTAAATGTGGACAGCAAGAGTAGATAGCACCATTCCATGGGCTAGGGTCCCAGACTGAGTGAAAAGGAGAAATGAAGCAGAGCACCAGCAATCATTGCTCTGTTCCTGCCTGTAGGTGCAGTGTGACCCTCATGTTTCTTGGGCTCTGGCTGCCACGACTTCTCAGCCATGATGAACTTTACTTTGGAACTGGGAATAAAAAGAAATCCTTTCTTCCTTAAGTTGCTTTTGTCAGATATTTTGTCATAGCAAAGAAAAAGGTAACTAAGGCAGATACTTTGACATTAAACAAATAAGCCAGGCATAGCAGCAAATGCCTGTAGTTGTAGCCCTCAGGAGGCCTGGGCAGGGCAAATTCCCGGGACAGCCTGGGCTACATAGCGAGATCTTGTCTCAAGGATAAAGAACAAAAGCAAAAACAAGGTGGGGAGTCAAGGCTCAGGATGTAGTTCAGTGGTAGAGCCCTTGCCTAGCATGCAATCGCCTAAGGTTCAATTCACAGTACTGAAGAAATCAAAAGAAGTCAGTTAAAGCAGAGACTGCTGGGGCTGGAGAGATGG